GAGGAGCGCAATCTACACTTATATAATCATTAATAGTATAATATGTATTAATCATTACATTCTTAGACGTGAAATAGTTAAGAACATTCATCTTGATGATTTTTAAGTTTCATCACAACATGTTTTATATAAATCTTTTTTATTTATTCAATATTGTAATATACTTAACTGCAGTGTTATATGGAATTGAGAACGCAATCACTTGTTAATCAAGAAGACAGGCATCTTCTTTGTATGATGTTTATACTTTTCTCACTTTCTGATTAGATAGAGAATATTAATGTATTAATTATTAATGTATTAATTATATATTTGCTGCTGAAGATAGCTAAAACCGATAACCGAAAAGTTCAAACATCTTTTAATACAATGCGCTCCTCTTATCACGCTGACTCCAAAGTAGCCCCCTTAAATCTGTAGTCTCTTAATGTCTTTAGAACATCTCTTGAAATTGTGTATGGGTTAAAAACACTTGTTGAACCATGCTTCCCGATTCCAGACAAACGCTAAACATTTGTTTTTTGTCGATCTTTCGTCGCGCGTATTCGTGGCAAAAAGCTTCCAGTTTTCAGAACAACATGAACATTACTAATACTATGATGACGAAAGAGTGGATCTTCCCACTACTGATATAGCAGTCCGTCTTTCCTAAGTCATTTGCTATATTGGACCATTTTAAATTTCTAAATTTTGAGTTCAGATTTGGAACAGCCTCAAAAATCCTCGAGTATCAAATTTGACAGCAATTGGAGCATTTTTATTTAATTGAATAATTTTGGCCACTTTTTCTGATATTCTGGTCCATTGTGCATTATATTAATATCATACAGAGTGGGCCAAAAGTCTGGATACACTTAAATATTTCATAAATGATACATTTTAGAAAAAAATGTTTCTTACAAAAGTTATAAGACTAAAAAAACGCATTCAATGATACTAATTATTTAACCTAAGATGGTGTTGTCAAAGTTAAGTCAAAGTTAACATGAACATGAATGTTTTAATTATTTCTCTTATTTTCATTTTTGCACTGAAAATTCATTTTTATGTAAAAATGTACTCAGAACATCATTCTGAACATTCAAGAGATTTTAGCCGTCGGACATCTTGGGTAATGCTAATGTCGACGATACTGTAACTTTCAAGCTTTATAACTCGTACTTAATGAAAAAAGTACTTAATGAAAACGAACTTAATTATAGTTTGGAAAGCTCTTGAGATAAGCTACAAGAATATGTAATGAAAAAGGGAAAGTTCCATTTAAAAAATTCATGTTGACTTTGACTTAACTTTGACAACGCCATCCTAGGTCAAATAATTACTATCGTTGAATGCGTCCTTTTAACCGTTACAACTTTTGTAAGAAACATTTTTTTCTAAAGTGCATCGTTTATGTGATATTTGGTATCCATACTTTTAGCCTACCCTGTATAATATTACATATTTTAATATTAGCTTTATCTTATTATGCGTGCGTGCACATGCGTACACGCACTTGTGCAAACTGTTAGAAATTATTATGATAAACTTATAATTTTAAAGGGATCTTGAAATCGTCTGTGTTTTATCTGGAGATGCGGAGTGGCTCGGCGCTAAGCGCGCAGCAACACTGCCATATCGATTATCCTTTGAATGAGTATTTTTCTAATTGCCTTTACAGATTTAAAAATTCTTTCCTCCTTTCATAATTAAAATATAAATAGTAATGCACTCTAAACTGATTGACTTAATGTCGAAAACAAAAATAGTTGAAAAATAATCTTATTATTAGCTTCTGGAAGTCAATCGTGTAATTTTTATCCTATAGCAGAAATGTGGAAAGCAAGAATTTTTAATATATATGTGTATATGTACATATTTACATGAAAATTTTTACTATTTTTTACATTTCCTCGAAATAAAGTTACATGATTGATACTCTGACACTAACTTGTAATAATATATTTATTTATATATTTTATATTTACTTTATATACAAGTTTCCATTTTGTATGTATAAAACTTCCTTGGTTTGGACTAAGTATTACATGAACAATGTTGAGAATCTTAAAATTATATTTAAATACTTAATATAACTGAAAAAATTGGATCCCAGTATCAGGGATATCTTCTGTAAAGTGTCCTATTTTTCTTCTTGTAACTACCTAATAAAATTGTTTGGTGCCCTTTCTATGTTGGAATAGTGGGAAATGAATTGGCGGATAAATCTGCTAAAGAAGATGCTAGTGAGAACCTTCCACTTCATAACAGAATTTCACTTTTAGAGATTTTAGTTTGATTACGAATATAATATGAAGCTGATGCAAAATTTAAAAAAAAACTCAATAAGAACACGGGTAGTTATTACATGAATTATTTTAATAGAACTAACATTTTCTTTTAATAAATGTCGTCTAGATAGATCTAACTTAGGTCTAATCGTCCAAATGATAATGGGATACGCTTGGACGAACAGCAGAAAATTTAAATTGGGCATGATCGAAACGCCAGTACGTCTGTGGCGAAATCCTTGGGAGGGGGGAGGGGGAGTGATATTAACCATATCATGTGAAAGTGTCCATTTCTGAAAAATGACAGGAAGATCCTGGAGGATTACTGCTTTTCAACTAAGTTAATGTCTCTTTTTTTCATTTAAATATTTAAATGGCGAGCTAATCGTGAAATTATAAATAATGTCCTTAAGTTCATTTATCTATGCTCAAGATAAACTGAGAATTTTGTTTTGAACTTTCTTTGAATTTTCTTTTGTAATTGTAATCTTTGACAAGAAATGCTCCTTTTCCTCATCGACATATGGAAGACAATGAAGAATTATATTAAAGATATGCACTGATCTAACTGGTCTTTTCCAGCCCAGTGAATTTTTATTGGAAACGTGATACTTCGAACTCTATAAGTGAGATCCACTAGCCAAAGAAGAAGAAGAAGATACCTAATATGAAGGATTAGTTAGAAAATTTGTGTGCGTTATTGATGTAGTAGTATATAGTAACGTATCAGTAATACATGAACCATATGTATGCAAGTCCTTATTTAAGTCCTACTCAATCGATAAAAAACAGATGATTTTAGGATCTCTTTAAGATTTAATTTAATTTATTTTATAAAAAATTATAAAAATATCTAATATGCGTTTGTATTTTATTTTATAATTTTATTAATTGTAGACAATCTTCAAACATGCTTAACCAGGCACGATTGAAGGCTTTAAAAGTGCGCGAAGATCATGTACGCAATGTTCTTGAAGAAGCTAGAAAGAGATTAGGTGAAATAACTCATAATCCTGCGCAGTATAGAGAAATTCTCCAACTGCTGATAATCCAAGGACTTTATCAAGTAATATTTTTATAATTTTAATTATTTTGTTATCATCATGTGTTACGTTGTTTATCATTTTTTAATCTTATAAATAATTTTATAGTAATTTAATTTTATAGTAATTTATATTTTTACAGCTAACAGAATCAAACATTACTCTTCGTGTTCGTCAAGTCGATCTGTCACTCGTAGAATCCCTTATTGACAACACTCAGCAGCAGTATAAGCAGAAAACTAAGAAAGATGTTGTCTTGAAAATCGATTCTGATAATTTCTTACCCACAGAAAGCTGCGGAGGTGTGGAATTATTAGCATCCAAAGGTAATTATATCGTCAAAATATATTTTTTGTTGTACTAAAATTATTAATTTTAATATATTAGGTGTGGGAAAAAGTTCGTGGCGTTTTTTCCGTTAGATGGCATTAAAAAATGCGCCACGAACACACCTTTTCCCACACCTAATATTTTGCAAAAATAATGAGAAATATGTAAAATATATCACGTAAATTTTAGTGATTTAAATTACTTATACAAATAACTTTGATTTTAAAAAAGTAATTATATTAATTGCTGAATTAATATTGCATACAAAATAACTTCTTGTTCCACAGGGCGCATAAAGATTAGCAATACTTTGGAGACCAGATTAGAGCTGATAGCGCAACAATTGATACCCGAGATCCGTTCTGCCCTGTTTGGACACAATTCAAATCGCAAATTTAATGATTAAGCTAGTTTTTCTCGACAATTGATTGACTCTCCAAAACATTCCTTTTAACAGCAAATTGCTATCACATTATTATGTATTATATAGAATAAAATTAGCATACAACACACTTTTTGTCGAGATTCGTGCCTAATATTTTCAATGAAAGTATTTGATCAATTGCCGTGCAATATTTATCGTTGAAAGAGTCGTAAACAAATTGTATAGTACTCATCACAAATATCCTTTTATTTTATCCCTATCTTTCTGACAGACGGTAATCATGAACATAAAGTGTATAGAGATGAAATATTTCGTGACATATTCAATATCGATTCAAAATTTCTGTTAAAATTGATTACAAATAAGACAAAGTGTACTTTCTCAGGATAGGAATGTTAATGCGAATGAAATGTATAATTAATAATTAATAATGTTCTTGACTGCTTGTGTTAAAAAGAATAGCAAATGCAATGTAGTACAGTCAATATATTGCAAAATCGTAATAAACAAAAGTATTGAATGTGTTGCGCTTTATATGTGTATAATACATTTGTATACTTATAGAGCATATATCAGTATATTATGTACATTATGTATAATATAATAATGTATCACAATAAATATATGATTCGTTGTTGTTGTAAAAATATCTTTTTAAAAAATTTATTTCCACAAATCTAATGTCATAACACTTAATATTACATCAATAAACATAATCCATGCAAATACTTACATACTATTATTTTGATTTAACATATTCTTTACTTCTTAACTCTTAGTAACACTAACTAAAGATAAAATCTCAGTAATAAATATTATGTTCGTTAATAATTAATAATTCTACTATAAATGCCATTTTATTTCAAAAGTTGATTTATATATTTATTGCTTGTATTTATTTCTTTAAGAACGTGTATATTTCTGCAAATCTACTTATTTACATTAGTAAATAGTACACATTAATAAGGCCTTTTTAAAAATTGATCAGTCACTTCTATTAAATTACAAATGACAGCTATATATAGTTTCTGACATGATGATAATTTACATGTGTGTTTTTAAAATGTTATTACACGTAATAAAGAATGTATGATGTATAAGTAATTATGCTTACCATACAAAATGAACACAATGTATGTAAAATGTATTAAAAAATTTCAGCTATCTTTTTATTACACGTTACGCAGAGATATGAAGATCGATACATGCTTCTCCTTCGAGATCTAAAGACTCTGGAGTATCTGATGGATTAATTTGTTCTCCATCAAAGTAAAGCTTTAAATTATTCTCCTTCACACCAAATTGCTCGGCGCAATTAGCAAATAGCATCTTGAACGGTTCATCTTTCTTAAGTGGAATAGTCAAAGACTGTTTTTTGTTCGCTGTTTGTACTTTAATATTACATATGTCCTTATCATTGCTCTCATCCTTGGATAGTGTGTTCATACCTGGATTCACTATCCCACCATCTGCAAGTATAAAGTAAACATTACATTATTGTATTCATATAAATCAACGACTAATTTATACAAACCGAGTATATCTATAATGGAAATTTCGAGTGATGCAGGTGTATCGGTATGATGGACAATTTTATCCTTCTTCATGATTAAGATTTCATTCACGGAAACTCCTTCTAAATTGGCATAATGCTCAAAAATACCTTTGAAATTATCATGCTATAAAATAACAGAAAGTTATCTTCACGAATATGTATTAAATAAATGATAAAAATAATTATATGAAACTACAATTTGCCATATATTACTAGTTCATACATAACTGAGATACATACTCTACGCATACTTAAACGATCAATTCTGTTTGATCGCCAATACACTTTTATATTTATCTCATAGTTATCATCTTCGATGTAACCATCATCATCTGAAAGTGCAATTACATCATCTGAAAGTGTAATTACATCATTGCAAGATTCGGATTGCCTTTCTTTTTCCATAATTTCCACATTGTACTTTAGATCAATAGGCAAACGCTGAAACATTGATATAAAAATTATGCAATATCATCTTGAATTAAACATCGATGCGTATAGATTACATATACAGGGTGTTAAAGAATATAATATTTGAAACAATACTCGAGTGCAGATAGAGCGAACTAAACTCGGAAGGTCCTCTACATTTTGCAATTTTCGTAATAGTTAATTTCTAAAGATCGCTGAATAAACGCATAACAGTCCAATATCTACCGCCAAATGCAAACGCGCGGTGAGATCAACGAGTTGTTTTTTTTTACTATTGTTTTAACTATTGCTTGTATAATATAGTAAACGATTTCCCACGCGCGTGCGCGCCTAGATCGTAATCAATTGATATGCGTTTGACGATAGGCCCAGATATACGCTTATTGGGCGAAATCTTTAGAAATTAATAAATCTCGTTCTATCTATTACAAAAATTGTATCAAAAAAGAACTTTTCGATTGAGTTTAGACTGTTCTACTTGCATGCGACAAAAAGTTCAACACACCCCTATAGCTATATCTGTACATCTATATACAAGCGTGCGTGCGTGCGTGCGTGCGTGCGTGCGTGCGTGCGTGCGTGCGTGCGTGTGTGTGTGTGTGTGTGTATGTGTGTGTGTGTGTGTGTGTGTGTGTGTGGTGTGTATCTTAAAAACAATTTAAATTATATTTGGATATCAAAATGATTCCCAAATTCAATTCGTGCTTTCAAGATAAATAATACATTTATACAAAATTGAAGTTACTTCTTGTAACACTGTTACCGTTTTCATTATTTTCTTCAGTGATCGTTATTTTTTTGTTAGACAGTGATGATAACATCGTTTTTACGAATTCAGCCATTACTTTTTTATCCTTACTTTAATCCCTTATTATTTTTGTAACTAGTCAACACATCTTACTTTTAATTGGTTAGAAATATTTAATAATACAAGTTTAAATAATACAAATTTAAATATCAAAAAATGTTTTGTATTTTATATCTTAGGCATTCCGATAGTTATTATCAATACTGAAAATCCATAGTATACAAGGTGAGAATAAGAAAACCGGAACACGCTTAAGGGAAGATTCCTGAAATTTTTATTTTAATTCTAATATCAAAATGCCGAAGGTTATAATAGTTTTTATTTTAATTATAAACATTTAAAGTTAGTCAATCATACCGCCGAAAATTTACGCATTTAAGTATGACACAACGCAAAGTGCTAAGAGAAAGCTAATTGTTGTCTCTTGTTAATGTAATATCAATATAAAGATTATGTATACGAAGATAAAATTATTGCTATTTCTAATTATTGATACTTGACAGGATTGGATAAGTTAATGTTTTTTTTTAAACTAAATTAAGTTAAAGTTAATGGCTTATAAAATTAAGTTGAAAGTTGAAGGAATAAAGAATTAACTTAAGTTTAAAAAAAAGTTAATTTTGAAAAAATTATTTTTGAGATTAGAATGTCCTAATTTTTCTTAAAATGAGATTACTTTAAATAACTCTTACAAATATAGATTATTAGGCAAATTTAATTTTATATCCACATGTAATTTATATATAATAAGAGTCACATTATAAAGTGTTTTTGTTAAAATCTTGTGAAAGAGAAGGGTATATGTTTGCATTATTTCTCTTTCTTTAACTTCTGAAACGACTATTCATTTCTGTTTACGACTATATCGACTAGATATTTATTACAAAAAATATACGTAAAAATTTAGAAAATAGGATGTGCACTCTGTTCTACAATTCTTCATCTAAGGCTCATTTCATGTTGCTGAAATATAATAACATAATAAAACGTTTGTGATACTTAAAATTAGTGTGATTCAAATATAAGCGGGAATTAACAAAATTTAGCGAGTCAATAAAAACTACTATATGATGTGATTCTTATTATAGAATCTCTCATCATCGTAAAATCATTGAACTTTTTCTAAATTAATTTTCTAATGTTTAAGATTTTATAGAAAAAAATATTAACATTAAGAAAGATAGAAAAATTTTCAATTTAAAAAAGTTAATAAATTAAAGTTTAAAGTAACTAAAAGTAACTAAATTAAATTAAGTTAAAAATTATTAACTTTTTAACTTCTTTTTTAACTTTTAACGTTTCAACTAGTTAATACTCATCCTGATACTTGATAAATTAACAAAAATTTTTTTCAACATTTTGATATTAGGATTACTCAAAATAATCTCAGGAATCTTCTCTTAAGCATTGTTCCGATCTTTCCCGGATACCCTGTATAATGTATAATGATAAATTTTTGACAGTAAATATTTAAACGCATTCTTAATAACGGCATTAATGTTTAAAAACAATGTTTAATAAAAGTTTTTAATAAAATTTGCGTTTGTAAATTACAATCACTACTAAAGATATGCATATATTAAAAAAATTAAAATAATATAATGATTCCAATTTTATTAATATAAAGAAACAGCGAAGATTTAGATATACGTTATGTTTAATATAAAGAAAAGCTTAAAATTTTAAGATTTAATATTCATTTTCACAATTAATATTGATTACAAAATAATATAATTTTTTAAAAAGTGAATCATTACTTTCTAAATAACGATAACGCGTTACTTTTATGAAGCAACGCGTTTCAATTTTTTGCATTTATACACACGCGCGCACGCATACACACACACACACACACACACACACACACACACACACACACACACACCGGATGTTCAAAGTAAAGCATTATAAATTTTTATCTTAGAAACACGACATTATTGAGAAAAATTGTTCAGACAAAAGTTGTAGAGTTCAAAAAGATCTATTTAGATCTTATCAGTTTAACTTTGGGTAATGTCGCTGATAAAGTTATTTTTTTATTGAGTACTTTTTGAGTTATGATGCTTGAAAGTTACAATATCACCGGCATTAGCATTACTCAAGGTATCCGACCAACGATTAAAACCTCTTGAATATTGTTCAGTAATTATGTCCTGCATAATATTTGTCAAAATCAAGACCACTGGAAATTATTCTCCTTATTATTTTCATTTTTGCATTAAAAATTCATTTTACGTAAAAATGAAAATAAGAGGAACAACCTCTAATAGCTTTGATCTTCATAAATAATATTCAGAATATAATCCTGGACAACATTCAAGTTTTAGCAGTTAGTCGGACATCTTGAATAATGCTAATGCCAGCAATACTGTAACTTTCAAGCATCATAATTCAAAAAGTACTTAATAAAAAAATATTTTCTTATAGCGTTTTGAAAAGCTGTCGACATCAGCTATTAAATTCTGCCATCAAAAATAGGATGTCCATTAAAAAAAATCGATGTGACCTTGGCGACGCTATCCAAGGTCAAATCAATGGTTCCTTCTTATGTCCTCCTCCATACCATACAACTTTTGTTTGAAACATCTTGTATGTACAGGGTGTCCGGTAAGTTTTGACAAAGCGCTCATTTGTAGATAATGACCAGATAGATAGTGATCAAACTAGAATCGAAAAGTCCTTTACCATTTTGCAATTTTCGCATTTGTTAAGAAGATATTAATTACTAAAAATTGCCGAATATTGGTTTTCAATAATTTTTTTTCTCAAATCAACTTTACAGAAAAACTGCAAGAAACAAAATTTATTTATTTTCTTCTCATAGAACCAAGAATTTTTTCAGAAATTTTTATTAACATTTTAGTACTGCATTTTCTTATTGGCAACTATTTTTATCAACATGAGAAAATAATATTTAAAAATTCTTAAAAAATTCTCAGAATTTTATAAGAAGAAAATTAACAAGTTTTGTCTCTCGCTATTTTTCTGTAAAGTTGATAAAAATTGATTTGAGTAAAAAATTATTAAAAACCAATATTCAGCGATTTTTAGTAATTAATATTTTAACTATTGCGGAAATTGTAAAATGATAGAGGACCTTTTGACTCAATTTAGACTCAATTCTATCTACACACGAGCGGACATCCTCTCTGTGTGTGTGTGTGTGTGTGTGTGTGTGTGTGTGTGTGTGTGTGTGAGAGAGAGCGCGCGCGCGCGCGTGTGTGTGTGTGTGCGCGCGCGCGCACATTTTTAAAAAATATTTAAAAAATTACCCTTCTAGTTCGCCTACCGACAGCTCTAGTAATACTTTTTCTAATCCGTCTACCTCTTACCGTCCTGATTCGCGTTTGTATTTCATCATTATTTATTTCATCATAATATACGTTTTCATTATTTATTTCATCTTTTATATCTTTATTATGACTATTCATGTCTTCACAGTTTGTTTTCGGCACAATGCTGAAAGTGAAATAAATAAAATATTATACAATAACAAACAAAGGAATATGAAAATCGAGTAAAGTTTAAATGCTGAATAATTTGTATAAAAATGAATATCGTTCGTATGCAAATATTTCAATCTTAGATTGAGTTGAAACGTTTGCGTATTTGTATGAATATTTATTTTTACAAACATTATTCAGCATCCTCTTAACCGTTAAACTACAAAATTAAAATTGTGTTAAAATATTAAAAATGTCAATCATTAAAACAATTTATATTTTAATCTCTATTTAAAAAACATTTCGTAATCGTTTTATTCAAAGAAAACAGATTCTACTCTGAATTTTTAATCATGAAATGTTTTTTAAACAAAGATTTAAATATAATTTTTTTATTAATTTTCGAATATTTTAACTGTTTCGAATATTTTAACAATTTTAATTTTACAATTAATCAATGTAAAATCAAATTATCGCTCAATTGTATAAAAACAATTGAAATATCAAGAATTAAGAACGCAACAGCAAGTTGATGCTAATATTTCAATTTAT